GATGACTAAGCGTTAATCTGATGACTAAGTGCTAAACTGATGACTTACATATACTTGCTCTCAAATAGATGTGCTACGTGTATTTTTCTAATGGAAAAGAGTGATAGATGATGGAGATGAAAAGTGATTAATATCTAGCAAAACATTGGATTTGAAGAGGCTTGTATATGAAGCTAAAAAAAAGGTATGACGTCCCCGGGTGGGCTTGAACCACCAACCTTTCGGTTAACAGCCGAACGCGCTAACCGATTGCGCCACGGAGACGACGCACTAGCAAAAGGAACAGATCAAAACTTCACAGGTTGATAAGGTATGCCTCAGATGGCATGACATTCGCTTGTGTGCAGGAAACGTCACTTCAATCATAGGATCATTATTACCAGTCAGATAGATTAACGGTGCACACGTCAACCGTCTCCGTGGCGCAATCGGTTAGCGCGTTCGGCTGTTGACCGAAAGGTTGGTGGTTCAAGCCCACCCGAGGACGCCTTACATCAACAGGCAAAATTTTACAAAAATACGTTTGAAAACACGGTTGATTTTATGATCAAATTTTCCAATCAAAACAGTTTTTAAAACTTATTTTTTTCGAGCAGAAATATACATTTTGAATGATTCTGTTGCTATGCTATTTGAGTCCCTCACCTGACTAGATGTTGTAGTGTTCGTCTACCCTTCCCTTCCATCTTTTCAAAGTTGTTCAAGTGTACTTTTGGATTGCAGCAGCGGTTCATCGGACTAAAATCTACTTTTGATTGGATTTATTCATAATTCATCATTAATTTTCATTGCGCATGCACTTTTCTGAGCGGCGAAATGAACTGTAATTCGACGAATTTCCAAAATTTTCCCATTATCATGCATTGTTACTGACATGTCGAATGGAAAAAAATATTGCACCATAATTTTTTTGTCCGTCCTTATGTGTTTCTGCACTTTTTCTTGTCCGTGCTCAATCTTACACGATTCAATACTTCAACTTCATACTTTGGGTATATGTCGATCTCGGTGCTATGGTATCTCATGCACCAAACGTAGGTCATTTTGGGCTACATTTTGACCTTCGACCTACATCTAAGAAACAGGTTCAGCTCCACTTTCATGTAATGCTTCAATCTACCTAGTTGAAGCGATGTGTCATGTACCAGAAGTATGTCACGTTGACCTACATTTCTATGTTCAGCATGCAACTAAGCTCTATCTCCTACACTACTAGTCACTTAAATTTTATACTTGGTAAATGGGTCGATTATGGTGATAGTATGTATCAAACGTAGGTCACTTTGGCGTATATTTTTACCTTCGATCTATATCAAAGAAACAGTGTGGATTCCATTTCCACTTAAGGCTGGAATCGACCCAGTTTAGGAGGTGTGTCATGTACCAAAAGTATGTCACTTTGACCTACATTCTTATCTCCAACCCACACGATATAAATATGTACAGGCGCTATCTCTTACACAGCTGGTCACTGGACCTTCACCCCTGTGTAATTGATTGACCCATGTAAGACGATATGTCTTGTACCAACAGTAGGTCTTTTGACGCATCTTTTGACCTCCGACCCACATCCGACTCTATCCTACACTTTTAGTCATCGAAACCTCATACGCTGAAATTTGGACGTAGGTCGATCGTGGGAAGCGGTGTGACATACGTAAAATGGGTCATGGTCCTAATTTTAAACATTGATCTATCTCCTAACTATTTGCATGATTAAATGTAGAATAGGCCTGTCTATTGAATGATTATTTTGGAGATCGGTCCACCTGTTCTTATCATGTCCAGACCACACGCACAGGGCGTCTGGGACATCCTTAACGATCAGCCATAAAGGAATCAGATGACCGACCAGGAGGCACGTTTTCATCCGTATTGCCAGATTTTATAAATCAGCTTTTACCTGTTCATAACTTTAATATTCTAATTTGGAAATTTATCGACAGAAATAACTTTTTACTTTTTAGAAAATGCGATGTTCCAAATACCTCGCTATCAAGAAACTGCTGTTTGTGATTTTTTACCCCGAAAATCATATTCATACAAGAGATCCCATAGGGATCTTGGCGCCCTCCATTTGAGGATCTGTTTTCAGTTCTTGAAGATTTGTTTATTTTTTTGTTTGTTTGTTACAGGTGTTGTAAATGTTCATGAACTGGTCTTCATTGAATGTACTCAATAATGGCACAAGATATTTTTATTAAGCACCTATTAGCAAATATCATTTGAAAAAGATCCCAAAGTATTATTAGATAGCAGGCAGTTACAGGTGGATAATGGACAATATGCTTGTGCTGTATTACTGTCGACATCCAAGATGGCTGCCTGTGGGCCACCTTGATTTCAAATCAGTCCAAAAAAGGTACAATGCACAACTAGGGACCAAGGAAAACCAATATCTATGAAATATCAGAAGGATCCATCCAGTACTTCCTCAGATATAGCAGTAACAAGATTTTACTCTCAAAATCCAAGATGGCTGCCTGTCAGCCATCTTGATTTCGGATCAAAAAGGATCAAAAATGTATAATGCACAACTTGGAACCAAAGGGAACCTGCATATGAAATTTGAGAATGATCCATCCAGAACTTTCCAAGAAATAGCAGTAACAAACTTTTATATTCAAAATCCAAGATGGCCACCTGTCGGCCATCTTGAATTCGAATCAATCCAAAAAAGGTACAATGCACAACTAGGGACCAAGGGGAACCTGCATATGAAATTTGAGAAAGATCCACCCAGTACTTTTCCAGAAATAGCGGTAACAAACTTTTACTTCCAAAATCCAAGATGGCCACCTGTCGGCCATCTTGAATGCAAATCAGTTAAAAAAAAAGGTACAATGCACAACTAGGGACCAAGGGGAACCTGCATATGAAATTTGAGAAAGATCCATCTAGCACTTTTCCAGAAATAGTGGTAACAAGAATTGTTTACGGACGGACGGAACGACTGGCGACGGACCATGGACGGCAGGGCGATTTGAATACCCCACCATCTGATGATGGTGGGCTAATAACAAATGAATTCATAAAGACGAAAGTTTGGATGAAATTATTTATTACATGAATTTATCAATTTTACACAATAAAATCATGAGAACATGAGCACAATTGCGGACATCTAATAAGCTCTCCTTATCAATGAACACGTCTTTCAACATGAGTGATATACATATGGCAGTGATACGTACTATACATATATGTGTTAAGCCTATTTCAGTTATAATAACACATTAGGAGATTTTACTGGGAATCTGCGTTTAGAGTTAAGTCACAGTATAGTTAGTGCTTGTAACACAAGACTAAACATACAATATATTGATATAGATATCTATATGATAAATCAAGATTGTTGACTCCCTTTCCTGATTAATATAAATGTATTCTTTTCTAGTAACTTTCAAATCTGTGGTAAATTATTAAAGAATGTTCGCATGTCACCATAGGGAGGTGCTTCATAAGATTCACTAATTCACAAATAGTATAAACATACACAGTAATCTTGTGCATGCTACTACTATGTTTAATGATTTTTGAATCCAAATCTCCATTAATGATTGGTTAAACCGAGAAATACAAATTCTCGCCTATTTTTATAAATGTAAATTATTCTAAACGAAGAATGGTCCGATATTTCAACTATGGATTTAATATAAAACGCAGTAGACATTTTTTACGATACAATTAAATGTCCTCGACTGTTTTCACTTGTGTACAAGTGTATTGAGACATATATAAACACACAACTGTTTTACAGTTTAAGACAGTCAGTTTTCTATATCACACATTGTAAAAATCGACCATGTCATTAGCACAACTCGTAACGTTTACCTGTATACTTGACAGATGTATCGTAAAACAACTAAAGAGGATTAGAGAAACTAGCACTTAATTTTCTTGTCAATGCTAAACCTTATCAACAAGAATAATAGAAGTTCGCCATAAATGATACGTTGAAAAAGGATATAGAGGGAGAGGTGGTATTTTTTGTCCATTTCGTGGGTACTTTTAATCCACAAGTCTATGTGCCCACATCTTTTTGAAATCAGATTAAGAACATTTATTTGGCTATACTTGTCAACGGAATTGAAATTAGGTGTCCCCGAAACAGCAATTTCTAGAAAAACCTCGGAAATTTTGCCCATGATATTATATCTATTATTTGACACTATTTGACAAGAATCGATACATACATCAGTGCAAAAGGTATGTGAAATAGTTTTTGTAACATTCATTACAAAAGCTGATAATAGTACACCATAGGGACCAGCGAGTATAATAATATTGCTTTTTATCATACGAACCACAAATTTCCTTATTTCTATGATACAAGCCATATTAACGTGGTTTAATATGATATTTGTTTCAAAGACAGACTAAATGACGTTGTAATCACATGAATTATTCAAATTTTGCACACATCACTATTTTTACGGGGTTAATTAAGTAAATTTTCATAAAGTTTGAATATTGATAACGATACCTCATTTTATAAAATAATAATAAACAATTTTTCATATATACTGATACATAACATTAATAAATAATAACACACATTTTCACGAAAACATAGGGTAAGTTAAACGAGACATTTTACAAAGAAATGTATTGTGAGACTTTTTTTACCGGGTCACCTTGAATATAGTTGTGGGTCATTTAAATACACAATTATACCATTAGTAGTTTGAGAGGACGTAGAAACATACCAATGTACAATAATTCAATTCATGTCTGCTATTGATTCTGTTTTCATTCAAGTTTTTTTTTTTTTTTTTTGACAGTGAATATTCTGAATCATGTAATAATTCAAAAGAAAAATAATGATTTCCGACAAATTCATTTCCAGTGCTTGGAAATGAAATCACTGGAGCGTGTCCTCAAAAGCAAAAAAAAAAAAAAAAATTGTTTTAGCATTTCCGTATGTTAGTACACATTATCTTCATATTTAAGTATAAAAATAAGCTATGGCCATGTTTTAGAAACGTCCAACATCGATGTTATACTTTTCTGTAATACAGGGACTCTCGTGAATGTTTCGAGTACGGAACGGTATAAATTGTCTCATAATCATTATTGACGAAACTGCTTGTCGTTCGCGTGGAGTCAGACCTATCACTCCTTCCGCTGTAGCTACCGGAACTCCTTCCACTGCAAGTGCTCGGAATGGAAGCCGAAGCTGAGAGAGACCTTAAAGCCTTTTCCATCTTGGGATCTTTGCAGCAACATACAATCAACCATTGATCACGAACCTGTTTCTTTCGGGCGACAAACAGAACGAAAATGAAGAATCCTTGTAAGGAATTGAGAATTGTAAATGCGTACTGAAAGACCACACGGGCATCTGCTATAGCAAGGTATCCCAACAACCACGTCAGACCTGTCGAAAAATCAGTATTCATGAATGCAAGATACATTTAAAGTATGATGTAACATCAGTATTGTGGAAAACCGTTTATAGGTACAGCATGGATTTTCTATATAAAGGGAATAGACACTTGACATTACACCCAAATCTTATGATGCACAACATCTATAAAATCAGTACAGCGACGACAATTTCGGAAAACAGAATCTAAAGTTTATATATTACTTCAGCTTAACTGACTTTCCAGTCAAAATTGTCAGAAAAACATTAGAAAACATATTCATTTTTCTGTTAGAGTTTCTTCCCCTACTTTGCACTCGCCTTTCACTATGATGCTGTGTTTTATACTTTTTTCACAGCAAAGTGGAGAAAAATGTATAAACGACAGTGGACAGGAATCAAATTTCAATAGTGCGTAACAAAAATAAAAATGTTAACATTTGATCAGAAAATATTTTTGCCATACGTATGACTCTTTGTAAAAAAAAAAAGAAAAAAAAAGCAATTGAATATGTATGTTGATTATATATTAATTGTTCCGCCTTATTATGAATTAACTGAGCGTTATATCAGTCCAACGCACACTATTTTCCTACCGTCTCTGGTACAAAATTAAACTCACAAAGTAATGCAAAGCTGGAAATACGAAACTAAACTCACTGAGTGAAACAAAGCTGGTAGTACAAAACTAAACTCACTGAGGAAACAAAGCTGGTAGTACGAAACTAAACTCACTGAGTGAAACAAAGCTAGTAGTACGAAACTAAACTCACCAAGTAATACAAAGCTGGTAATGGCGGCCTGTAGATTAGTAATGGCGATTTTCTGTTTTGACTGGTTACTTCGTAGACCTGTCGGCCGGCGACATATACTGGTAACGGTAAGTATGAACACCACCAGGTTACACAAGATTATCACACCGACTGGTAAGGCAAACGCGAAGTAGAACGCTTCTAAAGACATCCAACAGCTGTAAAGGGAACATAGCGCATTAGTTTCATCAAAATGATATCGGGCATAATATTGGCACTTTGACATGACAACGGAACTTTGCAAATTATTTTGTCACAATTTTAAATTAATGCAAGAATTTTTGGAAAAATGATACATCATATGATCGGTTAGAATTTTTCAATTTTATTTTGATTATGTGTTGCAAGTTATGAACATTTCATCACACTTCCAACTAAATATTGCCAAAGAGGTACGTTTTAACACCTTTATTTAGATTTAAAGATTTAAACCAATTTCTATATCGGCCGTCTTGATACATCATAGATATTGCCAGATAAACAGACCAACTCATTGTTATTCCACAACCCATGCAGTTTCAACTTCGAATCTAAACAATTATACATTTCTACATGCTTTCCATATTGTAATACGTTAAACCCACGTATTTAAGTATCCTTTTATCTTTTTATATTCACGAGAAATTCTACTCTATGAACAATATATTTTACGAGCTTAAAATGCCGTATAAAATTTTGTTTTACAATAAACTCCATGTATTTTTTAAAATGATCTTTTGTTTATTTGAATATTATGAAAAAAATCAAGTAATAACTAATTAATATCATGCATTGATCGTGTGGATTCAGTGTATGTGTAGGCGTTGTGCCTTAACAAGTAAAAATGACCACCACCTCTGATCCTTCACATCCAATATCCCGCTATCAATATGCTATAAAATACATACTATCTGTCACCTCCACGATAGAGGTTGGGGTCAAGACTCAAGACTACGATAATGGGTATTAAAGGCAATCCTGGAATAAAGCATTATACATATATACAAAACATCATATCGAGTCAGCATATGTTATCTTCTATGGATAGTTAGAGAAAGCAATGAGCTAGATATATTTTTACTTGTCCAATATCGCACAGAGGACACACAAATGAGTAACACTTTCCATACAATTTAGAATTAGATATAAATTAGTGACAGATGATAAAATAAACTACATTACACAGTTGTTTTGTCCTTCTAGTCCTACAGCGATGCTAAGGCAATGAATAGGAGATGAGTGAGAAAACCAAATTTATTCAAAAGGAAATGTAAAACAAAACGTAGACAAGGAGGTACAACAGCCCTGCATTTCAATTCATTTGTAATATTTCCATTTTTATCACAGATTTTAAAGTTTATATAAAAAGACGCACAAATGAATATAAATAAGACCTTGTATTTCTATACAACATGATGTGTCCTTCACTGAGGGACAAGGTTATATATAGAAACTATTTCTGATGAAATATCTGCATGGTTGCTACGTACCCCAAGCGATGATGACAGTTTTCAAAGTATATCTCGTGACGTAAGTTCCAAGGACCTTGACAAAGGTCAGGTATTGGAGGAAGGCCTCCATCAACATCCACATGAACGAGGATAAGATAAAATAGTGAAGAAGAACAGCGACGATGATACATCCAATGAAGTTATGGGTCTGCCTGATCCCAGTGAGGAACACTACCCAAGAACACAACATGGCTAGGGCAAGATTGAAAAGTGTCTGCTGCGCACGACCTTGTCGGAGTTTTCTGTAGATCAAAGCCATTAAACCATTGCATTAAAGCAGTAGAAAAAGTCACCACAGAGACAGAAAGTTAAAACAATTTATACTTGGATGCATTTCAAAACAAAATACGTTTTATTTTGGTTAAATAAATCTGATAAACGACACTTGTGTAACCTAATGATTCAAATGTCAATTTTCCATTATTCGCTATTTTGGTATTAGGGCTATATATAGAAGAAACATATTATTGCAAAAACTGTACAATTGTTTACATCTCGTGGCATTGTCTCACTATACTTTTTGAAATATCAGTTATATGTATAAAATAAATATATAGAATATAGATGTTGTAGTTTATTCTCCATGAAGAAGTAAAAGCAAGAAAACAAAATAAATACCTAAAAAATACGTATGAAATTATGGTAAGAGACAATCCAAGGATGGACAGACTGAGTCCCACAAGGGAGATAATGCTGAGGGAAAATTCGTGATCACGATCCACTGGTTCAGCTTGTCCATAGAAATCCTGTGGAAACAGTTGATTTTAGTAAAATGATATTCAAAATAATTTTGTTATTTAATTTTAAACCGTTTTCTGAATTGCTTACGCTTGATTATATTATACAATTAATTAAAATCAATGTTTGAAATGTTAATAATTTACGAATACATCGATTAGGAAATTGGAAATAGTATTATGTCTTTATTAAGTTGTTAATGAAGTTAATTTAATATTTAAAGTACTGCTTTAATATTTAACAATGTTGGATATGATTGGCATGTAGTCATCACTTTTATTATTTGTTTGCTTCAGTTACGTAAAATCTACTCACAATTAAAACAGCAAAGTTAGTCAGATGGTCACACAAGCAGACGTCTCGTCCATTCACTTGACCGTTATATACGCAACCAGCAGTTGACCAACCACCAACTTTGTTGTTAAGGTCGAAGTCCCAAAATGCACATTTACGTTCATCATTTGCCGGGGACTGTAATACACAGACAAATACAGTCAGAAAATCATATCGCTTGATTGATATGTTACCAACTTGACGTATTTTCAGGATTCACAGTAATTGCACAAAATCGACTCAATTATCCTGTCAAAAGGTCTAAATTGTTCAGATGTTATTTGACTTTACAAAAGTTAACATAGGGACATTATTGTTTGAAAAGAAGGGAAGGATGTAAAAGGAGTTACCTGTAGTGGCTTAAAGACTGTTTTCACTTTGTGCGTCAGCCCTTTGATATGTTTACCACTGATACTGGCGGAAATAATGTAACTGTTCAAAACCCCAAGTCGAAGATCCCTTGTGACATCGATTTTGCTTCCTCCTTTGGAATTATCCTGGAAGAGTCTTCCATCCCTATACACCATCATGTATAATCTTGTATCGTCTTTGATACCTAGAAATAACGGAAGGAATAGAGGAATTATGTCGTTTGTTATGTATTTTCTATTCTTATATGAAATGCCGGTTCAGATTGATACTATGAAATTTCGTTTAAAACTAAGATAATCTGATTTACATACAAATCATACATGCCTACTGTAATGTGTATCACCTGAAGAGGACTGTTTAAAGAAAGAAAAATGTTTACCTTTGCCATCAAACATTTCAGAGGCGATGAGCTCGGAAGGCAGTTCAATGGCTGCATCAATATCTCCATACAGCTGGGACGTATTGTAAACTGTGAAGATTCTGTCTTCGTCGAAAACTTCGTCTAATCTTCCATCCTTGCCTTGACGCGCCGCCAGACCGATGATCGGCACCTTCATCTTGTTAAGTTCCCATACTTCCAGAGCAACATTTGGCTTAACTATACGGAGCTTACCGTCGTCCTCCAAGTAAATATTTTCCGCAACCTTCTCGAAACTTTTAAGGATTCTTTAACACAAAAATAAACACATGAAAATGAATATTCTCGACTATCTTATAGAATAAGAATGATCTAAACTAACAGAGTCAGAAAAATAGTTATAGCTGGTTAAAAATATATTCTTTTGAAATGCTTCCCTCAACACAATTAAATTTGTTTCTTTATGATACAATCGGAGAAATAACATGTTTACCTCTTGGATGCTTTAGAAACATCATTGGCCTTCTCAATTTCGCCTTCATCAATACTCATTACTTTATCCATTGTCTTTAGTACGTTCATACCGACCTGAAATCACACAAAAACAGGACTGATCATATTTGAATAATTTTGTTAAATCTTTTTATTGAGTGTACTTTTTGGAAAAACTGACACCAACTTAAGAAACCATATTTCATGAAAAGGATATCGTTTTCGTTTAAAGATATTAATAAAAAAAATAATAAACTGAATATTTAACATGTTTGTACGGATCTATATATATAAATTGCTATGGTTTCAAAATGTCCTAGTAATCCGGCAGATTTCATTTTCTTGCTGAGTTGATTGATTTTGGCATTTGCTGTATAGAAAAGAGAGAGATAATTGCTGTTATCAAATTCTAGTACTAATTCCGGTTTCATAAAGTTATCATCGCAATATCACAACCCAGAAATTTTCGACGGCCTTTATATGATATTATTGTGTTTTATAGGGTGAGTAGAGTAGGCGCAGCATTGAATAATGCACCAGCGTTTAAATAGGATGATCGGGGTTCGAACATCTGATTGTAATAATTTGACAGTTGTCATTTACCGTTACTTCTTACTTCTTTTTTTTTATTGACAAAGGACATAGTATAAATATACTTTTAACAACACATGTCCTCGCCGTTATCTTACAACGCAATCAACAGGAACAGTTGTATGATTCGTGTAGTGTTTTGAATTTTTCATTTCTTAATAGTTTTATTATTGCCTCATTTGCATATAACGATTATACGATGTAGCTGATTCAATATCCATGGACGTTTTTACTGTGTCATAAATTCAGTGATAGATGTGGGCTAATAAAAATGTAGATTGAAGAATGTTGTAAGTTGTTTTTTTTCCAAAGGCCCCGTTTTATCGACCCTGAGCCTAAATAAAGATTTCTTGTGTCGCCTTTCTCTTAATTGTTTGTCAGAGGCAGCACCACCATAAATTTTTGCCATTCATCTGAATATTTTATCGATATATATTTTTTAATTTCAGGATTTGAAAGTGCATAAAAATTGACACACTTTCCCTATCAAAAGATTTTAGCTTGATTTGACAAAAACATTTAGACACCTCTTCGCAAAATACTGTATGAATTAGATCAATCAAGAGCTTTCCTATGATCTGTAATGATTTATCTTCGTTAAACAATCTTGATCAATGACATACAATAGTAATTGGGACGTTCATATGTCAAGGTGAACTACAGAGAGCGAATGAAGTGTTATACGGTTACTAAGACAGAAATGGACGTTATAATGAAGTGGCATGACAACCGACATAAAATCTATATCATCACAAGAAAGACACTGCTGTGGTGTGCCAGGTTAATCTTTACTGAGAGATGCTGTAGATTGAAATTATGTGTCAATTTTGAATTTCTTTCCGATAACAATGATAATAATACGTTTTAAGTGTGACACTATTCGGAACAGAGAACTCAAAATGTTGCTGATGTGTTATTTTGTAAAAATGATTCAGAAGATTCACTGGGAAACAATGGGACTTACCTCTTTTGTGATCTTGTGAACATTGACCGTTTTGTCCATAATATCAGCAATGTAGTCAACATCAACAGCTGTCATCTCTTCAACTTTTTCAACGATACTAGCTGTTTCCTGCATTATACCTTCTACGTTGTTATCTTCCATGTCCATCTAAAAGGTTTAGAAAGGAAACATTTTTATACTTTTATCTAGGATTTTCCTATGATAATAATATTTCAATACTTCGATAATTCTATTTTTGCTCAGAAAACATAACATCACTGCAATTTCGGAAATAACGGAAATAACATTTTTACTGAAATTTTTTCGAGAAATCGAGAAAACTCCAAATTTTACAATTGGAAGGTAACTTTACCGGTCAGGTTACATGGATCATTACTATTGTGATATCATTACTTTCTTTTTAATTGACTCGCATAATCCATATGAAAGAATAGTCATTGATCTATAGTAGTCTTAACTGCAGCAATTTCGAAGTTTAATAACCTTTTCAGTGGGTAAAGTTCATTAGAAAAACGAAAAGAATAAAAAATGCTTGAATGGTTGAAAAGAGTTTATGAAATTCTCAGTTAAATCACATTCATATTTGCTTTTCTTACCTCCGCAAGTTCCTTTAATCTGTCTTCAAGTGTCATGCTCTCAAATATTCCCTCTTCCTCCTCATCTTCCTCTTCCTCCTCCACCGCTTCCTCTGGTTGGGCGTGGCTTTCGTTGTTACATGTTTTGGTGACAGCGACGTTTGTCCAATAAGCTCCCGTATCGTAATCACCTTTACATGAAGCACGTCCAGCTACAGAACCCTCTGAATATCAAGGTCACATTAGGTGTTAAATATTGCATGAACGAGAAAGAGATCATTGTTGACTGGTGATGGTTTTAAAAATTGCACAGATCGATAAAATGTAAAAATTACCCTTTTTAGTGTAAGTGTATTTCTGTGAGAACTAGTGTTATTTCGTTTTTAGCTTTGTTTTCTAATGTTTAAACATGATATTGGAATCTCCTTAAATCACACGGTAAATGATTTTACAATATACACGTATATGTGTATATACATTATATTTATCGTTATTGAAAGTATTTGTTCCAATCTTTTTTTCCCTACAAAATGTATTTTTACATACCACATATTTCGATACTGTTAACTTCAGTATCAATGGAGGACCGAGGGAAAGTTGCAACCAGGCCTGTTTCTTCATCTTTTAGACGATCTAACGGGCAGGCCACTGAAACAAGTTATTTACAACGTAAATAGATGTAAACAGACAAATTTGAATTATTTGAATACTAAACGCTTAAACTACCATGATCATTTTGTCAATCATTAAGTTTATAGACTTATCTGACCTACCTGTGCTGGTTAAGTCAATTGACCGCATTATGTGGATAGGTGTTTTCCCAGGCAATGTCAGTAAGATTTTTGTATTCTTCTTTGTTTCTCGTAACTCTTTCCTCAGAACCAAATACGCCATGTTTTCTTCCGCCATAGTGTAGTTATCGGCCGTCTTAAGGAACGTGTAGTACCCTAGTTTTAATGGCTGTGTCCTGTAAATACATGGTATAATTTTAGATCATTATGAATCTAAACAATAATATGAGTTATTTATCAATCTATTTTCCTTCTTCAGCTTTGAAATTACATAACATTAATCAATGTTCACTTTCTTCAATGTATTGAATGATATTAATTCTAATTTGTAAAACGCTATCTTGGTTATAAAGTATATGAAATATTTGCTAGATTTATATTAATGTTGATTTTAAGGACGGTCTTTCACTTTCATCTTATGCTTCAAATAATATTAGATGTTGCGTTCTCTCAAATGACTGAAATGAATTGACAAAGCAGAAAAAGTCAACTTACTCTTCTATTTTGCTTCCATAAGTTACGACACTCTGTATGGCGGGAATATTTTGTTGTAGAACAGGTAAAATCTTAGCATTAATGTAGTTTATGTCTTTCATGATGTTAGAGAGCTTGGCGTTTTGTTGGTTGATCATGTTGTGCAGAAGTATTCCTTTATGTGACAAATTAGGCATCTCAATGGTTCCTCGGAATGTGATAACATCTGTAAAATCATCATCACCATCATCATCATTAAAAAACAATCTTCGTTGAGAGGCTAAACTATTAATATAGTTGGAAAGAGTTTACCATGGACTGGATACGCTCGCTAGCTGTTGCCATCCAATGGTCTAGAAATCAGTTTATTATTGTTAAGCTATTGCCATTTCATAGCAAGTACAAATAACAATATTTCCCTAGATTACCTGAGTATTTCACGGAGTAGGACCTTGAACGACGTCTATTGAAGGGATTCATTTCCCATACTTCACACCAGTAGTTGCCTTGGAACATTTCGTTGGTGAGTTTCTGGCTGCTTGAATACTCCAAAGTTTTCCGGAACATTGGGCCCAGTTCCAAAGAATTAGAAGTCGTTAACGCTAAAAAGTCGAATATCATATTTCAAAATATGTAAATATCATCTGATCAAACTGATTTAAGTCATCGAGAAAATAGGTTGCTGTGCGTATTAACATATAAGTATAAATGTAACAATGTACTTAGGCGGATTTTTCATTCTAAAAGTTGTTTGATCTAGTCAGGCCTTTCCATGATTTTTGATTGCTAAATGTTTACTAACTAAGAGTAGCAAATGGAAAACGAACCAATATCAGAATTTACTTACCTGGTTCCGGAAGGGGTGTGAGTGGTCTTCCCATCACCCCAAGTAAAGACACCAAACTAGGAGATCTTCGTTCCAGTTTAATGTCGACGATTTTCCCATCTTTGAACCAAACAGTAGGCAGTTCTCTGTTTTTATTTGTTAGCCTACACGACAGCTTGCTATTATCGCTCTTAGACGAAAAATAAACTCGCTCTGGTTCGTGACTTCTCTCATCATCTTCAGTATCGTCTTCTTCGTCATCATCATCGTCGTCTTGCTTTACTGGCCCTGCAATGTTGTAATAATGTGAGATGGGGAGTGGGGAAAAATTTTTGAAGGTATCTTAAGAATGGCTAAATCTTCGTTTTTATCAAAATGCAAACCATTGAAACAAGATTATTGTGCATCATGCATAACAGTTCAGATTTCAGACACTTGAGTGTAAAAACACTATCATTAGTTTCACGACGTATTTATCTCCATTATTTACCAGTTATTAATGCGTCTCTTTCGCAAACAACTTCAGCCGGGCTATTGCATGATGCTTCCATATACCCGTTCACGGTTAGAGCATGACATTGTTCAGTAGGCGGTAACCTTTGTACCCAAAACAAACTCGATGGCCCTGGATAAAGCGACACAAACAATTATTCAGAGAACATGTTTTGGAAAAGCATTCAATAAAGTTGAATAAAAACAAATATATCAATCGTGTAATTTAAATATCATGTAATAGTGCTAGTTTAGTGTGAAAAGCAAAACTTAAGTTGATTTTAAAATGCAGATGACCAATTAAAACAAGCTCATGTTATTTTCAGTCGCAACGCCCTCGTTTATTTTATCGTACGAATGACCTTATATATGTAGTTAGGCGTATCAATTCAATGTTGTTTTTACCACATGGTAGCTTACATATCACACTTGACCTGACCTGAATTATCTTTATTACGATTCCTTTTGTTATATTTTCCAATTATGATTAGGTTAAAAAAAAGCTGAACATAGTTTTACTCACCGACAACGAAGCCTTTTGTTTGAGATTTCAATATGCTCATTAACACTAATTGGGCGTGAAAATTACTGTTTCCCATGGTAGCCAGTATCCCTCCTTCGTTCTTACAGCGTTGCCTTGCTTCAGTGAAAGGCATTCTAGAGACGATAACCTTGTAACACTTCTTAGAGAAAATATGACCATACCATCCAGGAGGACAGGAAGATGCTGTTGGTTAATGATCACAATTGCTTTAGATAATGCGGTGTGTGAGTGTAAAATCCTTTTTGTAATTGTATACTTACATCATACCAGTTACAAGGGATTTAGGACTTTGATAAATGATTATATCTTCAGTTTATTTTAAATAATAAGCACTGTATATAGTGATCTAGAATATGATACGATATTTAGTTTTATAATTTCAGATATTTCATTGTTTAATTTTGCGATTAATCATTGAACTAGAAAATAACATCATGAAAAATGATTTTTATGAAATAATTAGCAACTCACTTATTAAATGTTTTGAACACCTACATTGACATTTTTTACTTAAGCATAATACACATAAACTTTCATTTTTTCATTTAAAGAGTTGTATTATGTTGTATGGATTGTTCGTCCTATCGAAATAGGAAAATTGTGAAATTCACAAAATTATTCCATCTATATATTTTTCCTTGTTTCATGTATCAACACCAATTGAATTAAGATACAGTGCTTACCCGTATCCTCCAATATAATCGGTGGACTGTAGCAAACGGATGGTTTACGGATTCTGCACTGGGATAACTTCATGCTTAGAGGTTTTCTTTGCTTATGTTGATGATCAGAGTGTGGAATATGTTCTCTTTTGTCTGCGGGAGGTACGAATTCCTCTATTTCCTCAAATGAATCTAAATGTTGATGGATTCTCAGTCCTGAATCTTTTTCTGCAAAGTTTCTGCGTAGGTCATCGTCTATATCATCTGACCCTTCTTCTACGACAAATGTACGCAGTGTCATTTCACTTCCCTCTATGTCATCTTTTCTCAGGTTTCTTCCAACTAAGGCTGTCGGTATTACAACACTATCAATTTCATTGCTATCATCAACAGTCTCGTCAGTCTCATCAAACATATCGCTGTTTTCGTCTAGTATGTCATCATCAAATAACTCATCGTTATTTTCAGAAGTTTTATCTATATTTTCTGATGATTCAGTGTTGCTTTCATCAGCCTCTTGTATACTTTCCATTAAGTCTAAATCGATTGGTATTGACGTCACTCTGTCGTCGTCTTCTTCATTGCTTGAATTGTCATCGTTAGATTCTCTATCATCGTTTGTGATATTTTCTGTGCTTTCAGCATTGTCTCTGTCATCATCATCGTCATCACTTGTACGTTTCGCTACGTTTTTATTATTCGAACTGTCTCCGTCATCATCGTCATCAATTGTATCATGTACATTTTCATCATCCGAATCGTGGCTGTCATTATCATTGTCATCGCTTATAGTTTTGTGTACGTTTTCAGTATTTGAGCTGTCACCGTCATCGTCATTGTCATCATTAGAAGTATTCTCGATGCGTTCGTTATCCGAACCGTGTCTATCATCATCAATTTCGCCACTAGTAGTATTCTCCATATTTTCATTATCGGAACTTTCTCTGTCATTATCATTGCCATCACCTGTAGAGTTTTCCGTGTCATCATCATTATCACTATCAAGAATATTCTCGATAATTTCATTATTTACACTGTTTTTGTCATCATCATTGTCATCACCTGTAGTATTTTCTATGCTTTCATTATTCGAACTGTGTCCGTCATTATCATTGTCATCATCATTGTCATCTTCTGTAGTATTCTCTGTGCTTTCATTATTCGAACTGTGTCCGTCATTATCATTGTCATCATCATTGTCATCTTCTGTAGTATTCTCTGTGCTTTCATTATTCGAACTGTGTCCGTCATCATCATTGTCATCTTCTGTAGTATTCTCTGTGCTTTCATTATTCGAACTGTTCCCACCATCGTCATTGTCATCTCCTGTTATATTCTCTACGCTTTCATTATTCGAACTTTGTCCGTCATCATCATTGTCATCATCATTATCATCTCCTGTAGTATTCTCTGTGCTTTCATTATTCGAACTGTTCCCACCATCGTCATTTTCATCTCCTGTAATATTCTCTACGCTTTCATTATTCGAACTTTGTCCGTCATCATCGTTGTCATCTCCTGTAGTATTCTCTACGCTTTCATTTTTCGAACTGTGTCCGTCATCATCATTGTCATCTCCTGTAGTATTCTCTGTGCTTTCATTATTCGAACTGTTCCCACCATCGTCATCGTCATCTATTTTAATATTCTCTACGCTTTCATTATTCGAACTGTGTCTGTCATCATCACTGTCATCTCCTGAAGTATTCTCTATGCTTTCATTGTTCGAACTGTGTCCGTCATCTTCATTGGCATCTTCTGTACTATCCTCCATGCTTTCTTTATTCGAATTTTCTCTGTTATCATCATTATCATGAAGTGTAGTTCTCTCTGCGTTTTCATCAGCCGACCCGTTTTTGCCATCATCATTGTCATCAGTGATTGTGTTCTCTTTGCTTTTGTTATTCGAACTGTCTCCTTCATCATCATTGTCATCACTTGAAGTATTTTCTTTGTTTTCATTACTCAAATTATCGTTGCTAACATCACTGTTATGATCCTTTAAATTTTCATCGTCTTTTTCGTCATCTTCGGATGTGGTATTGGTTTTAATTTCATTACTCGAACTTCCGATGTTATTCTCATTTTCATCATCCGATTTGTCATCATTTTCTGTATTCTCATTTATGTTTTCTTTTGACGACGAAATCAAAGTTGTGTTTGACGTCATACTGTCATCATTTTCGATACTAACGTCGTCACCACCATCACCTTCATCATCATCATCATCATCATCATCATCATCATCATCATCATCATCATCATCATCATCATCATCATCATCATCATCCTTGCTTTCAAATGTATTAGATTCTGTGGCTGAAGAAATAATGCCAATTATGCTTTGTGTAGAAATGTCGTCACCATTCGTATCAATAGTATCAGATCTTTCAACTTCAGTCCCATTTTCTGTGTCATCGTTTTCCAGCATTTCGCCCCCATTTTTGTCATATTCTGTCGCATCTTTAATTACCTTATTAAAACTGCTATTGGTAGAGCTTGGAGCTGTTTTAATTTCGTCAAATTCATTGCTGTTATAATTAAATTCGGTTGTATTGCCCGTTTTACCAAAATTTGCCAAATTTGCCTCTTCATAGCTGTCATTTTCGATACCGTTTGAACCTGAATCTCTGCCATCATGATTCTCGTCACTGTGATTTGAAAGTAAAACGCTGGCCATTTCACGGCTATTCAATGGATAACTTTCGTCTGTATCATTGAAAGCTGCTTTGATATTTTCATCTTTATCATCACTCCCACTATTAGAATCACTGTCATTGGTGTCATCCTCTGAATCTTTACTATCTTTGCTACTAGTGTCATCAGAACGTTTTTCACCTACTGTAATATCATCTGACGCATTAGAGTCATCTTCAGTTGTTTTCAAGTACTCGGAACTTGTTACTATATTTTGACCGGATGTATTTGACAATTCAGATTTGTTTGATTTGTGAACCGTGTTCCCTATTATACCTAAATTGTTGATAAACTGATCCGGGGATGTGAAATCGAAACTTGGGTTAGCAGTAGTTGTTCGTGCCTGAGTTCCCTTGAGTATGGTGTCGACGTCTATAAATTCACCGCTGTCGTCACTGATAGTAGTTGGTGGTTCCCTCATTGGAACTCTCCTCACAGAGGGTGCTGTTTTGATATCACCTAAAGCTGGTATACTGTTTTGAGTCGCGCCAGTTATAACTGTTGTGGCCTCTTTTGTAACACCTACTGTTCCTCGTGTTGTGATATCATCAAAATTGGAATTTGTCGTAGGAATGTCAGTGTCACTACTGAGAGGTGTCACGTCCTCAGATGTTGGAACAGTAGGGATAAATGAAAACGAAGGTTCAATTTTATCAGAATCACTTTCACGCTGTGAGGGATTTTTCATCTGGGATGATTGAATCGATGGTGTCGTTTGGGAGGACACCATTTCCACATCTTTCATAAGGTCCAAATTGATATCTTGGTCAGTATTTTCTGGGGATGGTGGCATAGACAGTTCGTCTTTTGAATCGACCGACGGCTTTGTAACTGATAGTGTCCTAATACTGTCATCTGTTAGATCATGTGTTTGGGGTACATTTTCCGAATCTGAGCTTAGAACAGCCTCTTGTAGTCGTGTCTCTTTTTCTACAAACATTTGATGATTCAACTCTGGAGTTTCTATATTAGAATCTTTTTTCGATGACACAAAATCTAAACCACCGTCCTGATGAAGAGGTTTAGAAGTTGGGATATCCAAATTTATTTCATTATTTTCGATTGTATGTATCTGAGACGCAATCGTTGTTGGTGCAGTTGGATCATTATCTCCATCTTCATTAGGCGGTGGCGTTATGTCTTCCAGGTTCTTTCCCGAATCTTGTAAACCAGGGGTCGGTACGCTAGAAGACGGATTATTCTCAACGTTTGAGTTCCAGTGCCCGGATTCCACAAGTGTTTGTCCTTCTGATTGTTGCTGTTCAATACCTATCTCAGGCTTACTGATTTGTGTTACATGAATTGGTTTTTTGGCTACTATTTCAGAAAGAACCGGATTAGGAACACCATCCCCTTCACCTAATTCAGATTGAGATTGCCATTCGGAGTTTTGACCATACAAGTTGTGTTGCTGCTGCTGTTCTGAATGTGGAGGTTTGGTGCCTTCTTTCGGTTGAATATCCTTCAAAAAAGCAAGATCCTGAAAAGGCTTGGTCCTTTCATTGTTTTCAGAATTTGTTGGTATGTTATTGCTTATCCCGTCGCTGCCGTATTGCCTTAATGGTCTAAAAGAGGACCTTTCCGTGTTTGGAAACATCGTTTCCACTGGACTTTGTGTGAGAGTTTCTGTTAAGTGTTGAGAAAATGCCATTTCAGGATGGAGATTGTCTTCGGGATTTCGTCTTTTTCGAATTCTAACTTTTTCATTCATTGTGCTACGTTTACGCCGATGATGTAAAATTTCCTCTTCAAGTGGTAGCTGCAATCTACTGAGATCCAGATCTCCACATATGTCGCTATCATCTGTATCGTCGTCGATTTCCCAGTCCCAGGTGCGGTCTGCTTTAAGTCTGGATTCCATGAAGCTGTTGTAAAATATATATAAAATGTATAATTCAAGCCGCACCAGCATTTAAAAATGTGCTTTACTGTGGAAACTAGACTGAGGTTTTTTCCCTTACGGGATGTTTTAAACTTGGAACCAAATATTGAAATTTAAAAATATGACTTGGACAAATTTAATTTTGAAAGGACATCAATTTACACTTGAAATACATCGTATTTGTGTATATATGTAAATTACTTACTCATTATATGGCCTGACTTTGTGCGGCGCAAGCTCATCCCACACAAGAGTACCGTCTTCTTCGTGCAGACCCGTCCATATATTCATGATCTCTTGCCGACGGAGATATTCACCAATACTTTTAGAATCGACATATACAGGAGCTTCGGCTTTTAACAGAAATCCGAAATCTTGCCGGCATGTATCTTTTGCATCGTCCCAAGACAGTGCTTTATGATTAATATATATACAAATGGGAACATTATTCATTTCCGCTAGCTTCCAGCCATCTCTACACACACCCTTCCTCCTGCCGGATAAATTGTTCTTTGGAATTGGATTTCTAGAGGATCCCTCGGCGATACTATCGCCTTCTTCGTCATTTTCCCTATTCGTCCCCACATTACCAGCGTTGTTAAACAGTGGCAGTGAGGCCCCGTCTCTCAGGGGTTCCGCTCCATTACGAAATAAACCAGCGCTACCCGGTGCTTGACCTTGAAACTGACCCCTGGACAGTAAGAGTAAATCTGTAAAAGAAGTAGATTAAAGTTATTGACCAGTGAAGTTAATAGTAAAATTAAAAGAATCCTATCATAATACACGCATTCGCTTCATGTCCATTTATCATGAGGATTATATCAAAGGATGAAAGTGCAACACATTCTTGTCCCCTTCCTGATTTCCCCCCTCCCTTGTTCAAAGAAGAAAGGGGCGAACATTTTCCGATATACAGTAGTACCTATGATACATACATGAATTATAGAATACAAAATGTTTAATTAGATTTCGATATAATATATTTATGAACTATTTCTATAATAAAATATCACAGGTAAGGCAAAGTCATTTCAATGTGCAGAAAATACAAGGTAAACTTCATTAATTTCGTTCATGATGTCTAACGGGACAGGCAATGCCAGGTTGTATAATGAATCACACCTTTTCTTCATATACATAAATCTGTGGGAAATGGCCTTTAGTGTGTGGCACACAACAAAATTATATCTTTAATGTGTAACCAGAAATAAACGGAGAAACGTTTTTTGTTTTTGTTTTTGTTTCAAATTCAAAACAATTAATGTTTATGGAATTGCTGTTTACTTCATTATCTACCAGGGATATACCATCAAATTTCTATCCACTAATTTGTTGCCCACTGATTTGTCATCGTATAAGTAACCGGTATTTAATAAAGATCAAATAATAATAATAAAAATCGGTTTTTCATGTGATTTAACGGGAAAACTTCAAATAGAACTGTTGCCCAATATTAATCAACAGTAAATTGCGAAACATAAGGTATTTATCTTAATACATGTCAAGTTACTGGTTATTGCCCGAGTACACGTTATGAATCGTTAAAACATTTAATAGCACTGTTTAAAAATGTTAATAAACAAATTCGAAATAATAGGTTTTATTTTGAAACAAGACATTGGTGATTGGCTTAGTACACTTAATGACTCGTTCTTAAGGCGATCATATCTACCTGATGATATTGTAAGAACACATTCCTTTGAATGGACGTGCTTCTTCATATGCTGAATGGATTATTTAATATGTTGCCTCAAACTCCATAACATTAACCTCATTTATAAAGACAAAGCTTTTTACTCTGTACACGTCGGAGACATCCCCAAAATACTGACACCGTCACATCTGCTTTAGAAGATTATATTAAAAATATGTAAAGACATAAAACACAAAAGGATGCCGTTTAATGTCCTTGTGTTAGGGGATATATATTTCTATTTTTACTGCGAATACTGCTATCTTAATTATCTTAATCCTGTCTTATCTAAAACGAAAATGAAAAGTTGGTACTACAACAGATATTTTGCTGGCCTCTGAAGAAATCTTAAAACATAAGAACAAAAACTCTTGGTTAGGAGAACAAAAAGGGGACAATCATCCACACCCTATTTTTGAAAAAGACATTCGTGAAATGGAAAAAAATGACTAAATATCACAATATACAGTATTCTCACAAACCAGACATCTAATCCGGTACAACTATATTATACACCAAAGAATATAATTAAGTAAAAACAAACTTAAGTGTTTAAGTAATTGAAAGATATGATATTGTAAATACTAATAGATATTTGAGGCATTTTTCCCGGATGGGCTGAATAATATTTGCAATAATTATTGGATATGGCATCTCCTTTCATTATTTCATTAACCATTTTAGAATATTTATATTATTCCTGTTTGCTCACTAAAGGAACTAGCATAACGCCTTACAAAGCTAAAAAAATACAGTTTTATTATCTATTTAGCATAAAAATTCTACTTGAAATTATCAAAATTCACCTTTATTTTGCCTATAACCATTGCCATGAGATAAATGGCATATGAAGTGTTTCCATGATCTTGAATTTTAATGTAATAAAAACATTAGATGATCGAGAAGTCATTGTCTCCATCATCGTGATAAGATCATTCACATTATTGCCGTGGCGTCAAACTACTGTAGTATAGTTGGTGTCATTTATCTAACGTACGTGGACTAGACAGAGTATTATAGCACCATACACACCATGGCTTTGACTACCTATTATACAAAGAAACTTACATATATCAACTGAGCATGTTTATAATTCTTGATAGTAGGGTCTTACTTGTGACATTTATGGCGTTTTATGGCATAGACGGTTGACTGTTGAATACTGCTAGTTATGGAGCAATCTTGTATGAAGGTTGCACAATAAGTGGTACCGATCTTAACACTTACTTTATAATCTTTAAGCGGTTTCAATTTCTCGCTATTTAAAGGCAGTATTTCGGAGCTCATTTTCCCCCGAAAATATATCACACTTTTTCTAATATACTGGATCAATGATCCTGTTTCTACTAAAGTCAACAGTTTGTGGACATATGGACTCGTTGATTAAGAGTACCCACGAAATAAACGAAAATCCCCTCATTCCTTCCTCATCCTTCCTCGAAAATTAAGGACTTCACAGTATATGCGAAGATGGAATAAAATAAACCTACGGAAATGCAAACCCTTTAAATAGAAGTGACAAAGGAATCTTTGATGAAATTGCGACAAATTGAACTATCAAGGGATCATTCGACTAGTACCTATGTTGCTTACTTCATTGATTGAAATTATCAAAGCCGAATATGTCTGGGAAAAATACTGATTTTGCTGTTAACCAACTGACTTAATAAATAACAAACTGCTTTGGATTGAGACAAAGTCAACGTTAGACCACAAATGACTTGATAGGATACAGATGACCTTGTATACAAAGCAAAATAGAAATGGATCCCAAATAGAATGATGATGCATTCATAAATTTATGTTATACAAATTATGCTGTGTACTACAAATTCGGAAAACTAATTAACTATCCGTCTTCACACCAAACTCTATGCAAAGGTAAAAAAAGAAAGGTGATTAATTGATGTGTATTAGACTGCATGTTCATACGTGAGAGCAGGTACTTCCCGCTAGGTATAGACGCCTTGTATATAACAAGTGTAAGAGATGAATTAGTCTCCAACAAATGTATATTTATCAGTCTGGATAATGCGAGCTGTTTGCCAGATTTTGAAACACATCAAGCAATTCCTGGACTGTCAAGTAATTGTAGTTGTTATGGTGGCCATATAAAGCGAGAAACTAGTGGTGGTGTTGGTGCTTAAGATAAAAAAAAGAAATATACAGAACCTTTCGATATAAATCACATTAAAACACTGATGGTCATAAAATCAAAGTTGAATCACAAAAAATGTAGAAGAGTGATTTAGGTATGGAGTTTTATACGAAAGAAAAATATCACAAAGACATATGGATAGCAGTTACTTGTACACTATTTATAAAAAGAGACAGTTGTATATTAAGTACAAATAGAGTGTTACATTACTTTAGCTTGATAAACGTACAAACATATAATATTCCGCAAATAACGTTATTGCTTATTGCTCTATATATTGCGAAATGTTCCAAGTAAATGCACATTCCCTGCATTATCCAATCCTATTATGCGTTTTGCCTGCAGGTTTTGACCCCATAATTAACCTGACGAATTTATACATTTGGAGGTGTATTTGATTACTGCAGATAAAGGTTTATACTGACCTATAACTTATCTTTTTACTATAGAGATGTTTCAGTATAAATTAATGCTGTATATTAATGTTCTAAACAGCATATATAATACTTCTACATATTATGAAATAATATTTAGTATGTTTCACCAGAATAGTTAATTCTTATAGATGCGATAATCCGATATATTTACTCATTATGTGAGTATTTATGCCGCCCAGTAACTATTGATTCATGTTATTTAGCCCGCCGAACTACTATCTATACAGGTGTTTGTGACTTATACAGAAAAGACATTATCTCATCGATCACCATATTTAATCGTCAATCTGTCGATAACTCGACTAGAGGTGACGTTTTAAAGGGACCCAAACACGTGGTATGGCGATATACCTATGGTATTGTTAACGTCTACATAACTTTCCTATCTACATGCAGAAATATACCTACGATAAACATTCATGAGTTTCCTAGGAAAAACAATATGTCATTCTCTTTGGATTGGCCCTAGCAGCGGTGCTAGTGACGGTTTGTGTTATTGTACGCTATCTCCGGTCATCCATCATCAGCTGTCATTTTACAACACATCGGACAGTACTGACGAATTTTATGGAACATTATTTTGATATTTAATGTGTAACAAATCGACTTGAATACTAAGTACCAAATTTTAGGGCATTTTGTCTCGGACGTATTCATTTGACAGGTTTTGACAGATAATATTTATAATTTCATCACTGTTTTTTTCTGTTATATTCAATTAATCATTAGCAATCCCATTTTGTACAGATATTAATCGAAAATAATTAATTCAAAGCATGTGTTGAAACATTCAGTGTTAAGTGTGCCTACACTTGCATTGTTAATGACTTCAACTGACTTGTGTGCATGTTGGCCTGGAGAATAAGTATGTATCATTTTCTTTGATTATAGAATCAGCACTTACTTTAAATTGCTTTCTATGAAGGCTGTTGATTCGCTTACTCTTTTGGAACACCTGGTCTTATTTTCATTGTATTTTTTTCAGGAGTCTTCGTGTAAGATTTTATTGTTTATATTTTGCCACGGTTTTAGATTATGTTGACATGTTGATATTTTTTTGATTTTTTTTCCCAATATAAATAATGATTGAGATAGTTGTATGGCCCTATACTATTAATACTGCAGAAAAAGTTAAGCAGACTGTCTAGGGCATTATGTTGCCACGTGCGTTATAGGACGATAAGCATAATTAATTATATTACATATTTACATATTAATAAGATTACTCTCTTTGTTTAATTTGTCATTCCACTCTCATAACCTCCTTGGGAGAAGATCTTGAAATGACAACAGAAGTGTTTCCCAGTGAGTGTGGTGACCTCGAAAGAAAAGGTCACATGACCAGGTGGTGTTTTAATCTCACACCTCTTAATGTAGTCTGTGTGCAGTGTAATAAAAATTGTTGTGGACACTACCATGGAATAGACAACTAGACATTTTGTCATCGTTTCTGGCTGTAGCGATGACCACGTAACCACCGTCATTTCTACGGTTAACCTATCTGAACAAAGATGATTATCTGTCCAAGAATGGACATATCCAATCAAAGGCGATGACCTGTTCAAGGACGATACCTATCTGAACAAAGGTGATTACCTATCCAAAGGCGGTACCAATCTAAACAAAGGTGATTACCTATCCAAGGACGGTACCAATCTAAACAAAGGTGATTACCTATCCAAGGACGGTACCAATCTGAACAAAGGTGATTATCTGTCCAAGGACAGTGCCAATCAAAACAAAGGTGATTACCTATCCAAGGACGGTACCAATCTAAACAAAGGTGATTATCTGTCCAAGGACAGTGCCAATCTAAACAAAGGTGATTACCTATCCAAGGACGGTACCAATCTAAACAAAGGTGATTATCTGTCCAAGGACAGTGCCAATCTAAACAAAGGTGATTACCTATCCAAGGACGGTACCAACCTAAACAAAGGTGATTACCTATCCAAAGACTGTACCAATCTAAACAAAGGTGATTACCTCTCCAAGGACGGTACCAATCTAAACAAAGGTGATTATCTGTCCAAGAATGGACATATCCAATCAAAGGTGATTACCTGTCCATGAAGAGTGGCCAAATACAAATGTGTACAGAAAAAACATTTACGTTTGACATTCCCACGATTGCTATCGTATCATGAGATATATTAGAATATTGTGTATGACTGTCCATTACATTGCAAATTGTTCATCTGTGAACTTAATCAATGCCATTGAGATGTTGGTTTCCGTGTCATTTGAAGTTATTTAACAGAGGCGTTGATTTGTCAATAACGTAACTTAGATATTCCTATCTTTGTCACTCAAGTGTTTTATATTAGATTTCATGGGCACATCGCTCGAAAGGAGCACTGACATCAACTTCCTACAAAAAATATCTTATTACTATTAACATGAAATGTAACATCATTCCACTTCATTTTCGACAGAATTTTCAAAGTGACTATCTCGGCTTTATATTTACATTTAAGCATGATCTATCTTATCGCACGTGTATCACAAACTTTAAACTTACAATAATAAATAAAGAAAAATAAATAACCACTGATTTATACAAATATACAGAGACTATTTCAAGAAGATTTTAGTCGGTTTTCAATCAGAATAATTTGGTTTGTCACATGCTAAACTCGTGATGTTGAAAACATAAGGTGGAAATGTAGATAGGCCTGTACATCCAACATCAATGCTTTTCCATCGACATCATGACCTGAATCAATGTTAAGTATAACTGAACACCAGTACTCCATGAAGCTTGACACTGTTTTTGCCTAATTCGCGTGTTAGATCTATGCTTTATGTGTGTTGCACTTTTGTATGACCTTGATATCTTAATTGTGCTGTAGATGAAAAATATCTGACTATTTGGATATAGTACTGTTCCATAACATTATTTTGTGTTGTGTTTTGAAAATCTTATTCACGAATTGATGTTGCAAATGTGTATTGATCAAGTCAAAATTCAAGATATGGCAGTGGATGGTTTTGATAGCATCCATGCTTGCAGACAATAAAATATGATTAGATTTACATTTCATAGCCGTTCCTAATTATTTCGTGAAGTGCACTTTCCATCAAAATAGATATTAAGAGAAAAAAATGCATGCAACTCAAAAAATAAAGAGATATGAGAATAAAAAAATTATATCTTAATTTTCAGTCCTCAATTTTTTCTCCTTTTTTTTCTTTTTTATTGTATTCAAATCCTTGATTTACTAGTTAGTATATATAGAAAAAATTTCAGCTTTCTTTAAAAATATGTATTTCAAAATAAAAAAAATTTAAAAGAAAATTAAGAAATCAAAGTTTTAAATTTCATTGAATAAGCATTAAGAGTGCAAATGTAAACAATTAGGGCGAGAATAATAAATAGACTAAATAAAGTAGATGTGACCAAGATAATCATCGATGTGACAATTAACCTATGGCATTCTAAACATATCAAGTTTATCTACAATAAAGGTAATTAGTTATCTGCGTCATCTATATCCAGTTTATTACTAGCAAACAGGGATAGTAAATGTTTATTTTCTGTACTCATTCATCACAGTCTAGGTTTTGTTCATTATGTTGTTCACTTCAACTAATTATTTCTGTATATGTTAATTAGGATATTAAGTACTAATTTATCAGAATGGAACAATGTAATGATTGACAGAAATAAGGTTATTGTCCAAGGAAAAACAAAGTGTCACCTATGTAGCAAATACTTTGGCGCCTCTAAAGAGTGTTGTTTTGTTTCCCTGTATTGAATCAATTTTGTATTAGTCATTATCTTTAAATACAAACTCAATTAATACAGGGATGGGATGAGGGTGAAAAGTTCTGTTTACATAACCATTGATTGTTTTTTTTAATTCACTGTAGCCAATGGAGATTGAGTTTATTTTTCTTATCAATTTTTTCCGTGATTTCTGAAGAAAAGAGATTTTGTGACTTATTCGTATCAAATCGATGCTTTCTTTACTTGACTGGTAAAACATGAAAGAAATTTATTCATTCATGAGAACAAAATTTTTAAAAACCTAAACGATCATCTGTTCTAATGGCGTGATAGCAGTATGAAAGGAATGTCATAATATGTATAACGTACTCTATTATAACATGAAAACACATGTGCTGATAAGTGTGTATTATACAAGTATTATTGATTTATTTCATCACGCCGTAATACATACACGTTACATTCACGAATTCCTCTTTAGAATCTTCCTGCCAAATTAATTAGTCTCGGAAAGAATGCCATTATAGAGACACGACTACAATAATGCAGCTCCTGACGATAGCAAACTATTGTAATGAGATACTTATCTGGAAATTTTTTATTTCTGTTTAGAAAAAAACATACCTAAATGGTGTTTACATGTACCATGGGCAATCATTTGGGCTCGTAATTGTTGTAAGACGACAGGAACGACTATAAAAAGGGCAATACTTAGGATTGGTCAGTCCTGGCGACGTTACATAAATAATAGTTGTAAGTAGTTTTTACTGCTTTTAGTGGATGATGTGTAAACGTGACATACAACTATTTATGACATAAACCAATAATTATTTTTTGTTTGTTTATAACATATTGTATATACGCACTCACGCGCACACGTCAACAAATAATGCAATTATTTTTACATAGAACTGTTTGATGTTTAATTCCCCCAACAAAACATGTGCTGTTGTCATCCATAATTTAAGGTGTTAATGCTGATCTTAAAAACATTTACAAGGAAATCCCTGAACAAATAAAAAGTGTATAAGACAAAGTTGAATTTCTAGGAAACTCGCTCTCTATTTTTGCCTTAGTGTCGCATTCTTTAGGAACGTTCACCTGTTAAAGATTAATGACAGGAGGAAGGATGAGGCCAATCGCTCACTCGATTCTGACTAGCTATATCGTTATTTCATTTCATGTGTGTTACTAGTTTTTTTTCTCATAAACACCTTTCTATGGTCTGATTAAGAATTTATGTGTCAATGTTGAGGCATCTGTTTTGATGGATACTAACAAGTTTGACTAAGTTCCTCACACTTCTCTGGAATGTATAAGCACTTTAATATGACAACAAAGTTAGACCCACCCAACGTGATTTTTCTCATGACAGGATTGAAAATCCAATGAAAAAAGTAAAAGAATATAGCAAAAATAGTTTACATTCATAACACGCACAAACTAGAAGTTCATAATGGACATAGATAACGTTTGTCTATGAACAACTATTTTCAAAAGAGTTTCAGCTGAATTTTGTTGTCAAATTTAATTCATATAAAATTAATCTGTTTTATTTATGTTTTTATTTATTTATGAGATATCAACGATGAAGAATTTGTAATTTTTTATGATATCACCTTTGTTTGTGTTTTACTTGGATAAGACTGCATTTGTGTTAATACCGTACACGGTTATGTATCGAAGATGAGCAGCTAAAGCTACACTTATTATTTAGGGAAAATAAATTTCGTTAAATATTCTCTTTCTAGTTAAGAAGTTGAATATCATTACGGTGCCACACTTTAAGACCGATTTTCCAGGGAAGATGTGAGGGTCTATTACATGCATCTTGTCATACCAACTAAACTGAAATAGAAAACTTTTCGAAAATAAAAAAGAAAGTACCCTCATATCAACAGAACATTATTATTTAAAAAAGACGATAAAATTATGTCAAAATAGGAACAAAAGAACGATTTACACGGAGAAAAGTACAAGAAGAATAAGACCAGGTGTTCTGGAAGGGTAAGTGCTTTATATATGTTTAGGCTGATATGCCAAATAATCTTAATCGCCCTTACTACTAGTAGTACTTACCCAATAATATAAAAAGTTGTAATATATTTTTCACATGGTGCATGAATCTATGCATTATCCTCCAAGTAGGTGCTTCGTCATGACCTATAAAATAAAATGATGAAACAAAATTTGTTAAAAATGTCAATTAAAGGCCAAATATTCATAATATGAAAAAATACCAAACGCTAAAGGTAAAAACATCAAATATAGATCTGATCATAACTTAGAAATAAATATTGAGACGTTCAGTCGTGTATTCATGTATTGTTTTTGGTACATAACTGGAAATAAGATATATTTTAGTTAAGTCACAGGTGCATTACTGTTTGCAAAATGTATGCAGATTGAGTTCAAATGAGAAACGCTTTTTAAAAGTGAAAATATATGATTTTGAGGAAAAGAGGTATTGAGGATTTTATTTTACAGGCAGCAATAAAAATGTTTTCACTTATAATATGTATCACCTTAGAATCATATTGTAGCATGAACGTAAATATGTATATTATTTTTGTTACTGTCTATTAACCTGATTTCCTGACGAAAATTATATGCCATGAAAATACAACCATACAATATAACTAACTGACACTATTCTTTCACTTTAAGTATGAAATATTTCTGTCTGACGCTATTTTCTCGAAATTCAAACAAAATCTTGAACCTATTTACTCTGAATGAAAGCAGTTTTTGGACTAGAAGCTTGCTTTTTTCTTTCTCTCAATGGATTTTATTTCTATCTGAATTCGGCACTAATCAACACTATTATCTTACAGCATCGATGCAGAGTAAAGGTACCAGACTTGGTTTGTCTTTAATTGATCTTACTGTGTCTGACATCATTGTATCTTAATCTAAACATCATTTTCGTCCGTATAATTTCATCTGACTTTATCTTACATAATTATTTCCCCAATTAATGTTCTGCATCCTTGTTGTGAGGAGATTGTTTTAGAAATATCTACCTGAAAAGGTGAAGAAAGCCGTGAAGAACTATCGATGCATTCAACATCAAACATAAGCAAAGCCTGATAATTTGATACACAATTTCATGTTGATCATCGATCTTCAACTCAACATTTTATCCTTAACTTTGTATTAATTTAAAATTGTCCTCGTGGACTACTGATCAAAGTGGGATTACCGTCTTGGAATTTTAATTTGTATAATTTTATGGTGAGTACCGAAATTACTTAAAAGGTCGATGACAAGAGTTTTCTTGGAAAGATGTTCACTGAAATAGAATTATTTCAAAACTTTACATTTGTATATGCATTTATGTTGCAAATTATATTTCCATGGGCACAAATTTCGTGGTTTTCCAGAAATAAACATTTTCGTTGACACTTGATTTCGTGGATAAATCTTGCATGCAAATCTCCAAATGAGCGTCATGGAGTCAAGCATTAATTATCTAAATAACTTACCTTTGTTGACGTGTCATGCAACGACCGTCTGCGAAGTTTTCACATGTACGTACATTGCATATCTTAAATTGTGTTGAGAACTTTCTCTATTGGGAGGTTTTAGATGTTATAACTTACTATAATAAGTTGTGACTGACTTCAGAAGTTCGTTATATATAGAAGGAAATGACGCGGTTTCCTGATAAATTGAATAATAAGTTTGTTGTTAAATCTGATACCTGTTATTTTTACATCAAATGACATGAAGAAAGTGTGAATTGTGGGATGTATATTGCCTTTGTGACAGGACATTGATGATACTGGTTGGACAAGGTGTTCTTCAGAAATATGACGAAGCAACAGTAGATATATTGTTACAGTAATATATGTAAATTTGTACAACCTGTGAGGTGAACTTTGCACTATAGAACTATACTGACTACTTATCATTAAGTTTGACGGACAAGTAATGAATTATTCATATACACAAATATATATAAAAACAATGCAAATATTGTTCGATTGAGTTTAGTGTAAAATTTTAACAATAAAGTTGTTTGTGTTGAACAACCTGGTATTAAAATTTGTAAAAAAAAATCTGTTAAAGAAGAGGACATCAACATCGTAATTCAAATTATTACCAATAACATGAGAATAGGAACAAAGAAAAGATTGATAAAGATATGAAACTAGTTTTGTTGTTATTGTCTTATTATACTGATTTACAATGCTAAACACATGGTAACACATGAATATTTTATGAAGTTAAAGATAAAACTAAAATCTGTTGTTAAATAACTTAATATCATAGTCTTTGTTTCCAGTATTCTCAAAGCTTTTTACTCATATTTGTTGACAGAGTTTGAGGTCAACATTTGTTATGCTGAACCACAGGACTAAACTTTTGCCTGGGGCCGAGGGTTCAACATAACACATGCTGACCGAAAATCCAGTCTACAAATGTTTTGTTATGCCTTCTACTGTTCATATGTAAGAAAACGAATCATTATCGATAAATATTTATGATAATGGCGGTAATTTTCGAGTTACAAATGGGAAGTAGTGCACAGTAATGAGCTGTGACGTAAGCATTCAACATCGAGATGTTTACCGGTCAACATTGCCCTGGGGCAAAAATCTGGAATGTCAGACTAAATTCATTATAGAATATAGAAGGTATAACGAAGACTTATAAGCAGTAGGCTTTCTGCTGGTAATGACAAACCGAAAACATGTCTTGATTTTGTGCAAAATATTCATGATGCTGCCGAAAAAATTATGAATATGTTTGAAATGAAATAGTACAAATGCCGAGTCAACATCATATGGACAGGAAAATGCATTGTTTACGATACTGAATAAAGGCAACAATTCGACCAGTTTTGTTTCATTCTTACATAAGACTGACCTCTGACATATAGTTAAATTTCGTCCTTAGATATATGAAAACATGTATCATAACTTAAGAATTTAACACGTTTTATTTTCAAAATGATGTAAACATGTTTATGTTCTGATATTGCTAGCATTCTTGTGCTCTTTTCCTGATATCGAACATTTTTAATTTTAAGATTTAAACCGATCTTGTCAGAAACAAGAATTTAATTAAATGAATGAAATTAATTCTAGTCAATATACTAGAACAGAGTAATATGGTTTATGAATATATTTCCATCAATTGTGTTGTATTGCATATGCAAACACAAGTCTGGGCAAAAATTCTTAAACGGGCGTTTTACGAGCCATTTCGTAATTACTTTCATGAAACTTGTCTTTTTTGCATATGTCACTAGAAATAAGTCAACAACTCGTGTCCGGTTTGATGATAATATACATTGTATCAAGCTGAAAATGTGAATGCGATATCGCTTTGAGTACAGTTTAACATGGCTGAGAGCAGAGAGTGACGGAACGTCACCCTCGGAACACCTCATCCATCAAACGGGTACTTAGTATTCTGTTCCACTGTCAGACGGGAAGTTTCAGACTGGCGACTTGACCTGACATGGATGTCAACAGACGTGAGCTGTTTGCCTTTATTTACTAATTAGTAAACTGAATTTCATCTGTCCAGATTAAACATTGATATGTACCTTCAAACTTATAGTCAATGAAAATTACTATATTTTCACATTATCACATTGCTATTTATCACTTTTTATTGGAGCAGTAATTTTTACTGAGGGTGTCTTTTAAATATTATTTTACAGGTTACATATGTAGAGCCAATAAAGAATAAAAAAAGAATAAAAACTGAAAAAATATCATGGACAAGAAATAACCAACATGTCAAAATATCGATAAAAGAAAAATTTACACAAAGTTCCTGAAGAACATCAAGGAGAATAAGACCGGGCGTTCGGGAAGAGTGAGAGTTTTGCTTCATCGATGACACCCACCATGCCAGCTTTGGTCAGTCAAATTATTAATGCCACGTTCCCAAATGAGAACAACGTATACATCAGCAAACCACTGATATAGCACACGGTTGACAACAAATCTTTAAAAAACAATAGAAATATGTTACACAGCGCCATCAAATACGCAACACCAAACCCAAACGACACAGTCCATATTGTCGTTAGCACACACACATATATATAATTGCCATTTCATAACTCCACAAGGGAAAAAGTACGATACAGAGGATCAACATGTCCACAAAGAGTACAACACACCACGTCAGCTATCAAAGTCGAGATATAAAATTTAGAGAAAATCCTAATAAACATTTCGAAATAGCTGTTACCTGAGTGGAGTTTCGGTGTGTCAGTGAAAAAACATTGTCTGGAATGTAACATACTAATAATCATCCACAAAAACTTGGTCTTTTGTCCACAGCATTGATAATATCTTAACTCATCTGTTATTCCAATGTAGGTGTCTTGTCACAGAATCACGCTGAAGAAGTGTCTGGTCCTCCCACGTACATGTCAGGTCCATAATAAGACAAAACACGAAATACCAGTGTAAATATCAAAGTGTTTGTAACCATTTATATGAACGACGGACATTGAGTTAATATATACTCCCATGTAATGAAAACATGAAGTCAAACTCAATGCATGGCCGTCACTCTCTGAATCATCATAAGAGCCTTACTGCGTGCTTTAATAAACTATGACAAGGTACACGATTTTCTCGTCAATATGTAAAGTTCAGAACATCATTTTATTTTAAATTTGTTCTTTTACTCTTTTGATATTTTATTTATCTTGTTTTATTATTTTTTTTTAATTTATATTGATTATAAGTGCCTGAGCGTATATCGACATAGTGACGTATCATCTGTCAGATTTCATACCAGTTTCCTTGTTAGTAATCAAAATTTAACGATCACTTAACATGCAGTGTTTTACTTTCGGCTAAATGATTTGTGGTCAATATTGCTTTGGTTAAAACAATAAAATATATAAACATCAAGATTAATCTATCATCATAAATCAATGAAATTCGAGGCAAATGCACGATTGCTGATCATTCGAGACTCTCATAATTCGTCATCATATAATATTAAATTAAACAATGTTGCCCGAAGTGTTTCTGTACAGGTGCATAGGATTAACTAGGTACACTTTAACACTTCATTACATAATCCTGATTACATATTCATGTATGGCTGTTTCGGTGCAATGAAAACCAATCAATTAATATAAAAGACCAGATGCAT